CTTAATTAAAAAAGTTGGAAAATCCAACCTTTAAGGACACCAATTTTCTTTTCTTTTTTATTCCTCTTTTTAGTCAACTTTAGCATGGGATCATAAGCTTATGAGCACCACTGTATACTGTGCTGAACATCCAGGCTATGTGAGACACAAAGGCTAACTTAAACACTAAAGACTTTATGCATCCCTGCCCATTTTAAGTGGAACTGAAGTATTTGTACTATACATGGATACATTGCATATACCTGTGCATCACATAGACAACAATACTGTACAAAGCCAACAAACACATTGGTCTGTTTGCCTTCAGGGACTCCTCTCAACAGCAGCTGCAAGAAGCAACAGGAGCCAAAAGACCCAGAACAGCTTTGAGAGAAGAGGAGAAGCAGAGGCTGTCTGAAGAGGTCTGCAACACCATCCTGGATCACACCAAAGAAAGGTTCTCTTTCTCTGGCCACCTTGTGAGTGCTACCTTACTGCAAGCAGACATGTTTGAAAGGTACTGCCATTCAAAAAAATAAAAAATCTGTTCATGTTCATTTTTACAAATCTATACAATTGGCCAGAATATGGTTGTTCATATTTACAAATCTATACAATTGGCCAGAATATGGTTGTTCATTTTTACAAAGCCATACATATTGTTTATGCAGTGTTGAGGAATGTGAAAGAACACCCTTGATTATTTTTACTGTGATAACTTATTTTGCTTTTGTAAGCCAACACTTTTGAGATCAGTCAATAAATGCTTCTGGTATTGACTTATATGCTGCCCCTGTCTTCATGTTGTTGCTGGACATATCTTTTTAAAAATGTGTGTAGGTCACCTAAATCATCAGAAAAATTGCCCCTCCTGAGAATTTTTTCAGGAGCCGCCACTGGTGCCAATACGATATGTATTGCGATTCTCACGCTTTTCATGATTCTATATGTATTGCGATTCGATAATGCGATTTTTTGAAATTTGTATTATGTTTTTTTTGTTGCGATTTGATGTTCCAAACATATTGCTCACTATACATCTGCTGCAGAGAGATGAGAGGGCATGATAACTAGTTTTGATCTTTCAGAGAAATAAGTGCTGAAAACATGTTTCACTATTTCAAGCTATAGGATGAAAAATCCCAGAGTTTTAGCGCAGGTACAGTCAACTAGCGCAGCTAATGCAACCTAAAATAGCAACAACAACAAAAAGTATATTTTTTACAAATCGATACTTGGAGTCAAATATTGATATAATATCGTCCAAAAAGAATTTTGCGACATGTAACTATCGGTATTTCCCCCCATCATTGCTACATGCTCAGATCCTCATTATCCTCAGTAAAAAGTTCAAAATATCTTCAATATATCTGGACTTATTCAAATTAACTTAACCGTGAATCGGTTATCAAATCAAATCAAATCAAATTTTATTGGTCACATGCGCCGAATACAACAGGTGCAGACATTACAGTGAAATGCTTAGCTGCCGAAAATAAATTTGACCGTGATGCTTATCAGTCTATACGGTAATTTGCATAATTGCTTATCTTATTTATCACACGCGCACAGCATACAGAGCCTAGTTTGAGGAGCGGAATAGCCCTACAACCTGTCAGACAGCGCGAGAGTAGCACCTCAAAAAGCCTGTAGGCTACTGGAGTGAAACCTGCTTTTGTAAACCCAGTCATTGTGCAACAAATAACAATTATAAATGCAATCGCGTATTAAAAACGTTATTGGCCACGATTAAAAGGACCTATTTTTATTTATCAATCTGAACTCCTACTTAATGTGCGCCTCCCATTCGCCATTCGAGTGTATAGGCTGTAGCCTGCCTACCGTTGACTATCAGCGCGTCACCTACCATTTTGCAGTGTGAACTTTTGGCAGTATAATTGTTTGAAACCTGAATGTTTTACTTTACTTCAAATAATGAGGCATGTCTTACCTTGCTTCAAAGTAGCAATGCGAAAATCCATCTGTAGAAACGTGGAGGCAATTATTTTATAATGACTTCCTCATGCCATTAACCAGCATTTCTCTCCTGTTCTATTGGTGTTCATATCAACTTTCTTTCGTTGTCCAGAAGCCAAAGGCACAATCATAGTCATATTAGCAACCCATCATAGTTTGTTGCTATTAGATTCCCCCTCTTTCAAAGTTTCTTGCAGTAGGTTTAGAACGGTGTTTTCCGTGTATTGCATTGTGGCAAATGTTTGAAAATGACGTTTTATTAGCTGCTTCATTACAGGAGTTGCATGTTTGAAATGTAAAACGATAGGCTTGCTATTAATTCATGTTTCCATTAAGCTCTTAATGAAAAATGTCCGGTCCTTGTATACATGCATAGTATCAGAGAGGAAGAGGCAAAGCGAGAGGTTTCAATCTCGCCAAAATCTGTCCAAAATAAGCCCAATACGTTTCTATGGGTTTATTTTGGGCCTAAGCTTGTCGCCTGCCTTTGTTAGGGCGGAAACATAAGCATCTCGTCATTATTTACAGATCTGTAATAGGATTTTCTGTCGGTTGCGTAATTGTACTGTGTGGAATTTGTTTTACCGTTAAAAGTTATGTAAAAAGCCAATCCTACTATTACAACTCTAAAATAAGATTGAACATATGCGAATCAACTTTCTCTAGTACTGGATATTGAGCACTCTTTTTAATTTCAATCAAACCATTTCTATTTGCAGAAAAATATTCTAACTTCGCTGTGAATTTTTTATGATCTGGCATCCTTACTGAACAGCAATGCAAATTACAAAGTTTAGGAGAAACATGCGAAACAAAGTAACTAAGAATATTTTTTTATCAAATAAATAAAAAATATGTATTTGGAGGATTCAACCAGAATTCAATGTTACAGAAGCATTACCAGAGCAAAGCTCTTTCTACGCTGTATGACTGGTGCAGTAAACTACTTTGTGGTGCAACAGAATTTAAAAGGAATTGTCTCAATTTCTGCCACTCAAACCTAAATGGTATGCACAATATAAAAGACACTAACCTTTTAATGGGATAGCTGCATAAGTCTTATGTAGCCTCGTTTTTTAAATTTATACTTAGAGGTCAATAGTACATTTTTCATTAATCAGACATCTCTTGCTCATAAAAAAAGACTATAAAATCCACAGATCTATTGTTATGTATTTGACCCATATGGAAGATGGTGTCTGTGTTTGGATGTTAACAAATGTAATGAAAATAATGAATAGAGCCGGGACAATACCAGTATCGCGATACTCCTTAGTATCATTTATTTTTATTTATCTTTATTTAACTAGGCAAGTCAGTTAAGAACAAATTCTTATTTACAATGATGGCCTACAAAGGCCAAACCCGGATGACGCCAATTGTGCGCAGCCCTATGGGACTCCCAATCACGGCCGGTTGTGATACAGCCTGTAATCGAACCAGGGGGTCTGTAGTGACGCCTCAAGCACTGAGATGCAGACCGCTGCGCCACTCGGGAGCCCATGGTAAGGAAGTAAACCACTAACCCCTAATGTTGGAAACAAACATCATAATGTTGTGATCCAGAGTCACATTTATTTTCCAAGCTATAGCACACTATTTTACATACAGCAGGGTATTAATGGGCCAAAGAGTTTGTTCTGCTTCTTGTTTTCATTTTTGCCATGGAAAACATATTGCTGTACTGGAATCGTCACAGCCCTAACAATGAGTTAGTTTTGAATGGCAACTCAGGCAGCACAAGGTATACACTAGAACTAATAAAGGTCAAAAAACTGAACTGAGCTGTATCCAAAATCAAATTGCAGGCTTTTGAGTAAATCCACTGAGTTGCCAAGCAGATTGTTGGTCTTAACCTTCTTGTGATAGATGTGCATTGTGGACACACTACTGTAACATTTTGTGGGGAGAACTTAGAGTTATCATATCCATAGGTAATTACTGTGATGTTTCCCTATCATTTAAAGTAAGGGTAATATTTTGCAGATCAGGCAAAATGAACACGCAAATAAGATATTGTACTTTACTCGATGCAATAGTGCAAGTGCATCAGTCCATGAAGCATTATGGAAAATAAATGGCCTAACCTAAAATCAGATTGATTACAGCTTGATTTATTGACTATAATTAATTTCATTTAAAGGGATACTGTGAGATTATGGCATGTAAGCCCTTGTTCTACTTACCCAGAGTCAGCAATGTTACTGTACCTGTAGACTTCCAGTCTTGCGCTAACACTAGTTAGCATTGGCTCGCGAAACTACAGCTAACTTCCTTCATACTGCACACAGAGACATAAAAATGGTATCCATGAGTTCATCTGACTCTAGGTAAGTAGAACAAATGCCGGAATCTCGCAGTATCCCTTTAAGTCAGTAGTGTCATAAGATTTGAATTTGTTGCATGTCTGTGATAGTTGACTGAGGTTAAGAACACTTGGTGCTTATTCATCAAGGGGAACATAGTCTTAGGCTAGCCCCTTTTAAATTTCAGTTGACAGTTTCATAGATTTATATGTGTGGTATCTTTAGGGAAAAAATTGATGGAATAATGTTTTAGCTCCCAGTGCAGACAGGTTTTGAAGCTAAATCAATGAGTATTTTTCATTAATCTTCTTAATGTTATTAATTTTATTTTCTAAATCTGTCTTTTGTCTTCTGTAGAGCTTTCCCCAAGAACACTTGGAAGATTCTCAATACGAAGTGGTCAGAGTCACTGAAGCGGCAGTGCAAATCAGAACCTTACTTTGGTTCAGCACTGACCTACATGCAAGTCTCTGGTCTTTCAAAAGAGCATGTTGCCAATGCTGTCTCTCTGCTCCATTGTCTGGTTAAACCGGGGGATCAAGCTAAAGAAAGTGCTTTATTTCTCAAACACAGGCCAGGTCTGAGTTCCAACCATTCACACCAACACTCAGAGTTCAGTCATGCTTCTTAGTTTTAGGTGAAAATTCCTGAATAGTGTTGGCATCACAATAAACATCCTCAATACTCTGGCACTTCACTGCCCTGGTCAGTGTGTATCATAGTTGGACATCTTTGCACATGGCTGTAGAGGGCTTCCAATTCATAGCGCTTTATGTCTATAACAAAGACTGGGAGGAGGACCTTGACCTCAGGCCAGGGGACATACTGACCGTCAGCAAGACGTCACTGACATCCCTTGGGCTCAAAGATGGGGACAAGGAGCACCCGGAGCGCCTGGGATGGATGGTGGGAGTCAACGAGCGCACCAAGCAGAGGGGAGACTTCCCTGGGACGTATGTCCAGTATGTGGGGCCTGTGAAGATGTATGTGGTGCCCAACCAGCCTCGGCAGCAGAGACCCGTCCCAGCAGCCCCCAGGCCTCAGCCTCCCCCAGCACAGCAAGGTAGGACACAGTGCCTTCAGAATGTATTCATACCCCTTGACTTATTCCACCATTTTTTGTTACAGCCTGAATTTTTGCCAATGTATTGAAAGTGAAATACATAAATATCTAATTTACATAACTATTCACACCCCTGAGTCAATACTTTGTAGAAGCACCTTTGGCAGCGGTTACGGCTATGAGTCTTTCTGGGTAAGTCTCCACACCTGGATTGTGCAACATTTGCCCATCATGATTTTAAAAATTCTTCAAGCTCTGTCAAATTGGTTGTTGATCATTGCTAGACAACCATTTTCAGGTCTTGCCATAGATTTTCAAGTAGATTTAAGTCATAACTGTAACTCGGCCATTCAGGAACATTCACTGTCTTCTTGGTAAGCAACTCCAGTGTAGATTCGGCCTTGTTTTAGGTTATTGTCCTTTTTAAAGGTGAATTCATCTCCAAGTGTCTGTTGGAAAGCAGACTGAACCAGGTTTTCTTGTAGGATTTTGCCTGTGCTTAGCTCCATTCCATTTCTTTTTTTATCCTGAAACTCCCCAGTCCTTAATGATTACAGGCATACCCATAATATGATGCAGCCACCACTATGCTTGAAAATATGGAGAATGGTCCACAGTAATGTGTTGTATTGGATATGCCCCAAACATAACACTTTGTATTCAGGACAAAAAAGTATTGGGTTGCCATTTTTTGCAGTATTACTTTAGTGCCTTGTTGCAAACAGGATGCATGTATTGGAATATTTTTTATTCTGTACAGGCTTTCTTCTTTTCACTCTGTTAATTAGGTTAGTATTGTGGAATAACTAAAATGTTGTTGATCCATCCTCAGTTTTCTCCAATCACAGCCATTAAACTCTGTAACTGTTTTAAAGTCACCATTGCCCTCATGGTGAAATAATCCCTGAGCGGTTTCCTTCCTCTCCGGCAACCGAGTTAGGAAGGACGCCTGTATCTTTGTAGGTGTAATTCATAACTTCACCATGCTCAAAGGGATATTCAATGCCTGTTTTATTTTTTTTACCAATCTACCAATAGGTGCCCTTCTTTGCGAGGCATTGGAAAACATCCCTGGTCTTTGTGGTTGAATCTGTGTTTGAAATTCACTGCTTGACTAAGAGACCTTACAGATAAATGTGTGGGGTACAAAGATGAGGTAGTCATTTAAAAAATAATGTTAAACACTGTTATTGCACACGGAGTGAGTCCATGTGACTTGTTAAGCACATTTTTACTCCGGAACTTATTTAGGCTTGAAATAACAAAGGGGTTGAATAATTATTGACTAAAGACATTTCAACTTTTCATTTTTTCTTAATATGTAACAATTTCGAAAAACATAATTCCACTTTGACATTATGGGGAATTGTGTGTAGGCCAGTGACACAACATTTAAATTAAATCCATTTTAAATTCAGGCTGTAACAACAAAATGTGGAAAAAGTCAAGGGGTGTGAATACTTTCTGAAGGCACTGTATACACCACAGACTCCCAACTTTGGGGTTGTGTTTAAATATGAACACCCCAAGCAAGGTCATAGATTCATTCAAACAGAAGTGTTCTGAAAATAGTGTAATGACAAAAATTATAATGATAAACTTCTGCATACAAGAGTACAGTAAGTAGTATGACAAGCTACAAACCCTGTCTACTTTTTTAACATTCTAGATTATCCCCTTTTTTAAACTCTTTTTCATCTGTGATGTCCGCTTATCATTTACTTTTATTATTTAGCCATCATTCTTGTCTTAACACAGTATCAGCCCACCTTCCATTTCCCATTGTACTTCAATTTTCTGTCTGTTGCTCCCCTTCTGGAGGCAGTAAATTGTGTTGCTTGCTTTGGGAGCTTGGACAAAGCACCAGGTCAGTCTGGAAAGGGAGCAGGTAGGGGAGCTTTCTGCTGAAGCAGCACATTCCACTGGGGTCACGTGACGCTGCTTCAACATTTGCCTTCTATTCATTCACTGTAGGGGGGCAGGTCAGCTCAGTTCCTCTCCAGACCACAGGCCTGCTAGGAGAAATGGAAATGGTACCCACAGCTGCCCAAGCAATTCCGACCTGTTAGCCTTAGACAGATTTACCCATGTTCCCTCTCTTTGTTGCAGCCCTGCTACTCTTGCATCTTGCAAACTTGTTTTCCTTTTTTCGTTCTGTGTCTAAAATGCCACGGGTTGTGGAGTAGTTTTTCCTTCTCATTAGTCATTACTGACAATTTGCTCTCAAGTGCATATGAAAAAATGTATGACACAATTTGATTGGGAGTTCAATCAAATTTATACCTGACGTATGTACACAACACAATTAGTTACGCAAAATGGCTTCCCTGCGTAGTTGCATCGAGTTACACAGTTTGGGCTGTACACGTCTGTATTCTTGTGACTTAGGCCTATCTACTCAGGACAGACCTAATTGTATTCCTGCATTGCATACGTACTTCAGGTATAATACATTGGCTTAAGGCAAACCCCTGTCATCAAACTAAGGATTGTTTTGATATTGTAGGTGGATTGAGTGCAATATGAACTTGACATGCAATTTAGACCAACGTTTTTTAAGCCCAGGCGAACTACCTTCGTCCTTGAAAAAAAAGACTCACCCATACTGTATAATTTTGTTTCCAGACATGCTCTACATTCTCATTCTTTTAATTGGGGAATGTTACAGGCTTATTTTACTGGCGGGACCTATGTTAGTTATATTTAGTCTGTCTGCAGGAGACACATACCATTAAGTGCAGCCAATGGACTAGTATAGATACCCAGCCTTGGGACAGGGAGTGACCACGGACCGTTCTACGAATTGGGTTGAGCAGGCAGTGTGCACGGGAACACAGGAAGTGACACAGCCCAAAGGCTGGTGTCCAGGTTTCTTCATTTTCTCCACAATTCTTCTGTCCAACTAAGCAGCTGGAGAAGAACGAAACTGCTTAAAATGGCCACCGCGAGGCCAGCAGAGACTTTGAGAGTTAAATTGCTGAAATGGGGAAAAAAATGTTGATTGCTCAACAACATCCCTGGAACTCTACAACAAAGCATTTAAGACTAAGGCAACTCAATATAAAAACGGAAGTTTTCAAGGTGGTATAGACGTAGGCCTACTGCTTCGCAGGGCATTTACAAAGAAAGGCTTTGCCAAGATTTCCTAGGCAAGCAATTATTAGTTGGTTATTTTCCCAAAAACCCAGGATAACTTCAGGGCTACAGCTGCTTCTCCAAAGAAACTGTATTATTTTTGCCTGGCTACCCATCTGCATCGCTCCGGCCAAATTCCACGCTCACTAACGTTTCTTCTCCATGAGTCTGGATTTGCTTACTCCCTGAGGACTTCTCGGATGCGAGTACATTCAAACCGTTCTGATTGGTCAGAGAAACTGATGGTTTGGGCCAGAGCTAGCCTACACGAATCATGAATCACGACATTTTGACGTCAGCACAAACAACTTCTAGGGTAGCAGCTTCAGACTGATGTATGGAACGATTGATAGAAAAGCAAAATTAAATTCAGGATGAGTCGTCAGGCAAGTATTCTTTTGTGCGAAACCCCCAAATCTGGGCAACTTTGCGTGTATGTGAGTGGTGAAGAAAATAAATAGAGACATAGCCTAGGCTTATTGGCTTTGAGGCAGATGTACAGCATATGTATGTCACTACTGAAGAAAAAACAATCTGTACAAAAAGACTAACAAAAAAAGTTTTTACATCTAGGGCTATTATTTCCTTCTGATAATGTGTTTAATAGATGTCCTAATCTTTTGCCACTGTTAAGCTTGGGTCCATTCTGCCCTATCATGCAAATGTTGGGTTGAATTATGGCAGTATTTTGTGTAGTGGCCAATAGGCATATTTTCCGATGGTAAATGCAGTCCCTAGGGTAGGACTACTTCTTGAGTGGTGTTTTTGATTGAGTCCTCTGTCTTTGATATTGTTCTGTGGATGGTTTATATTTTATTATATTATTTGGCTTATGAGTCCTCTGCTCACTGCTCATTCCTGAACTTTACACACACACACACACACACACACAGTTCTTGAAAGCCATTTCATATGCTAATAGTATTTGCAACATAACCTTATGTAGTCTAATGCACTGTTTGTAGAACATGCCAATATGTTTATTTTATATTTATTTTGTTTTTGGTTGTATATATACTGTATTGTACAGTAGCGACTTCAGCAAGACTGAATTGAACATGCAATACTCAGCCACAGTACAGCAGCTAGGTTCCAGGGCATTTGGGAAAGGCAACCCTCGGAAGAGTGAAGGCAGCAGAGAAGTGGGGGGATGGGGCGGACGTTATACAAGAGGGAAACCGAGAGCCAGGCAGCAAAGTTTCCATGTTTAACGTGCAGCAGAGAGGGGGAATGTGCTGACATGGTACTTTCTGTGAACTCCAAAATTATCAGACGTGGTTTAAGCTTGCGCTGCCAGGAGGCACTGGGTGCCAAGCTTCTGCAGTGGGCCTGAAAATGAGGCTCTGGCGCGCTGCCACCGGAGGTTTTGCCTGTTCAGGTTTTTTTTAATTAAATCCTTCATTGTGCTACACTGAGACGCTTGGAAAACCCTCCTCGCGCAAAGGGCTGTGGTGAAACAGGGCCTTGCCATGGAGGGGAGAGTGAAATGACTGAAAGAAAATGTAACTGGGTATTTGTTGTGAAAATATAAACATTTATTTGAGGGTCTGTTGTAATTTTGATTGAGCTTTGTTTGGTTTCTTTGATTGCAACAGATTTGCTGTAATAATTATTTTAAACAACATCAAGGCCTAATTGGTATCCTATCCTATTTGTCTTCCAGGGACTTCAGCTCATGAGTTTGTCCAGCCATTTCCACCCCCAGAAAATGTCCCCCCCCACTTTGGTGAAGTTGGTAGAGGCCATTGAGAAAAAAGGTAAGATGGCTGTGTGACATCAGAACACGTTTGAATTTGAGATGTTTAGTACAAGTCATTTGACAAGATAAGCAGCGGCATTGACCTGAAAATATGCCACATAGTACTTTCGATTTGGCATGAATGTATCAGTGCTTTGGTAGAGGATATTTTATGCATAATATATAAATAATATATGCCATTTAGCAGACGCTTTTGTCCAAAGCGACTTACAGTCATGTGTGCATAAATTTTTACGTATGGGTGGTCCCGGGGATCGAACCCACTACCCTGGCGTTACAAGCGCCATGCTCTACCAATTGAGCTACAGAGGACCACGCATGACCCACCATGCATGACATGTATACATATATTTACAGTATTTAGCTTTGATCATGGTCCGCTTTGACCGCCATGGTCTTCAAACAGTGTTATTTAAAAGTGGTATCTGCTGCTAGGGGAGACACACTGGCTTTGATAGGAACTCTCCTGTGCCTTTCCTCATTTGGCCAAAAGTCCGTCCTTGTTTTTATCTCTTTACACATTTATTTTGGGATCCACCCCTGTAAACGTAATTTGCATTTCATACAAGCACATTTTTCGTCCACGTTCCCTGAGAGGATGCAGGAGTTGAGCAAATCAAATTGAGAAAAGGCCCTCCTCTCGCCGTCTGGACTTAGACCCTTCAGACTTAGCACTCCTAAAAGTGGCTTCTGGGCCTCCAGGTAGCATGTGGAAGGCCAGGTTGGTGTTGAAACGTTCCAGTTAGCGTCTCGGCCATGTATTTTCAGCTCTGGGTGCTGTATTTTGGATGTTTATACGTGTAACTAATTGATCCACTAATAGAGGCATGCCAGGAGAGAAGAGACTATTTCAGAAGGGTGAGCTAACTGTGTGTGTGTCAAACTCTTGCAGGTTTGGAGTGTGAGACGCTGTATAGGACGTCTGGCTTCTTGGCTGTTGGCGGTCATAGACAGAGCCTGAATTTCGGTAAGACCCTCTTCCTCTCTTGCACCTTATGTTTGTGCATGAATGCATTGTTCTTACATTCAACTCTTGCTGAGCTATACAAGTTGATATGGTCGGATAGTCATCCATTCCAGTAGGATAAAAAGGAATTTACTCCGAACCCTGTGACTTCAATGATCTGTGGTGCTGTTCATTCTATAGCCTTGCCTATTGAGTTCAGTTAGGAAAATAAATAGGACAAATCCATCTTAACTCAAGGGGGTGATGGCCATGCTGCCCTCGTGATTCCTGGAGGATACACTACATGCTCTGTTTGTCTTTGCTCTATTTCAACAGTGGGCCATTAACACAGCCTTTGTTTGTGTAGAGAAATAGGCCAGTCTGTTCAAACGGATCAAAGAGACCCGGTTCTGCTAAAGACAATCTTGCGTACGTGATTGAATGCAATAGAGTGCACTTCATTATTTCACTTCTCTGTGAGCCCCGCTGTACTGAGGAGTGAGGACAGCCTCGGGAGTGTTATTTTAACTCCGTGACCGATTTGCATTAAATGCAATAGAATTGGCTCTATGAGTTCATGTTCTGCTTGTTATTATGTGCTTATCTATAATATGTCCATATAAATGGCACTGTTTGTTTTGACTGGAGAACGTGAACACTTGTCTGTTTTTGTATAGGCTGGGAATTGCCAGGGACCTCACAATACGATGTAATCACGATACTTAGGTGCTAATACGATATGTATTGTGATTCTCCCGATTCTATATGTACTGCTATTCGTTACTGCGATTGTATTTCGGTTTGACATTCCAAACATATTGCTCACTATAATATATTATGTCTGCTGCAGAGAGACGAGAGCGCCATGAGAAAATGAGTTTTGATCAGTCATGGAAAAAAGTGCTGAAAACATGTTGGCTCACTATTTAAAAACAAGATGGAGAACAAGCTATAGTGGCTGTACCTGTACCCGATACTTGGAGTCCAAGTATTGATATAATATCGTCCAAAATAATATTGCGATATGTAACTATCGATTTCCCTCCCCCCATCACTACTCTTTTGTAAGATGTGTTTACTTGGAGAGGGTGTTCCTAGGGTTCATGTGATCTGGGACTTGCTTAGCAACATCCATGCCGAAACGAGTTTGAGTATGGTCTCCCAAAGATTTGAGCAGACAAGACGTAGCAGACAGGACGATGTAGGCTAGATCAAGTGTCAACAGCATGCTCTGAGACGCCCCCCCACAAACACACCTTTCACATGCCACAGACAGACCGACCCAGATTCTCCCCATGCTCACACACACTCACACATGCCAGACACTCTCCCCACAGTCTATCTGCTCAGATCGAGAGCTGAGCCGGGCCAGGCAGGACTTTTCAGACAGCTGTTTGTTAGCTGTGGCGTGACGGAGCAGTAAGCAGCACCCAGCCAGTCTGGCCTGTCTGTCTCAGCGGTGAAAGAGGAGGAGGTCGTTATTTTAGGCTCTCAGACACTGTCACCGGTCATAGGACTAGTCTGGACACTGTCTCCCAGACAGCACACTTAGCTGCCACAAAGCACTACTCTTGGGACACCTTACCACAGAACAGGAGAACCAGCGATGTACACAAACGGACTCTGCAGTGTTTGAAATAGCGGCTAAAGTGTTCCTGTGTTGTTGTTTTTTACAGAGCTCTCTGAGCCTGAGGTGGGCCAGTATGACATCCAGGCGCTCTCAGAGGCCCTGATGGGATTCCTGCAGGACCTGCCCTCCCCCATCATCCCAGAGTCTGTCTATCCCAGCCTAAAGACTGCCCTGCAAGAGGAAGCAGGTAACGGCATCTTTAGCACTCACGTGCTTCTTAATGTATCTTATTAAAAACTGATGCAAGGGATTCCAGGAGCATATTCTATGAACAAAGCAAAACAAATAAAAAAGGCCATAATTGAAGCACACTATCAGGTGACTGTTGAAAGAATTGTGTATATTTTGGAATCGGCTTAGAAATGCAAAGCAAAATGTGAATTTGGCATTAGATAGAAAATAATGTTGCCGATTTACCATTGTGTCTCAAACCCAAGGCACTAAGGTTGTCACTCAGTCTCCTTGCTGGTTCTTATTTCCCAGAGCTGTCTGTCGAGGAGACAGGCAGGCGTTTGCTGAAGGCACTGGCGCCCCCGGCCATGCCCCTGCCGAGCCTACTCACCCTGCAGTACCTGCTCAGACACCTGGACCGAGTGGGCCAGAGCTCGGCCCACAATGGCCTGGACCCACACACACTCGCACTCCTCTTCAGCCCTCTGCTGCTCACCGCTGGGTCAGTCTCACATTTAAAGAAATACCTATGTTGGTATGGGGGGGGCTGAGAGATTAGTTTTTACCTAAACTCAAATGCACATATCTTAAAAGGGGGAATAAAATAAAATAAAAACCTCCCATCTTCATAAGTGGCAGACACAGAGGGAGAGGGAAATACTAACCAGCCAATAGACACAGAAAGAGAGGGAGAGAGAAATACTGGCCAGCCAATAGACACAGGGAGAGGGAGAGAGAAATACTGGCCAGCCAACAGTGAGAGATATGAAGAGAATGCTTCAACATGACCACCATCCTCTTGAGTTCATGCTGTTGTAAGTCTGCAAAGTGTCTGGCTGTAGGAATGGTCTGCAGGTTGAGCCAGCTTGAGATAGAAGCCATGACATGTCTGTTTTCCTGGAAGGACACTATTCTCTGAAGTCAGCAGAATATACAGTACGTCCACTCAGCACCTCTCCAATGTCCCACATGTTAGTTACTGAAGTGTTATTAAGGCACCTCTCCCTGCTGTAATGTTGTAAAATATGACCACCCTCCTCATCCCGTTGAATCACTCTTTCCACCGTACTCTGAATGACTGACGTATGAGTGCATTGATTTTTGTACAGGTCAGAAGAAGATCGTCAGGTTTCTGCCCAGGTGCTGGAGAGACTGCTGGTGGCGAGGGCCTGGGAGCTGGAAGAAATGCCACCAGGTAAACACAAATCAAATCACATTTTATTTGTCACATGCGCCGAATACAACAGGTGTAGACCTTACCGTGAAATGCTTACTTACAAGCCCTTAACCAACAATGCAGTTTTAAGAAAAGAGTTAAGAAAATATTTACTAAATAAACGAAAGTTTAAAAATAACTAAAAAAGTAACACAATAAAATAACAATAATGAGGCTATATATACAAGCTCACAACAATATATCACTCTCACTAAAAAACACACATCTTTACCTCCTGGGTCCATTTTTAATGGATGTCCCACTGTATTGGGACACCACCACCTATTGGTCCCTTTGACAGCCCTACCTCCCAAGCCTTCCAAAACCAAAGCCATGGCATCCTCTGTGATCAATGGAGAAGGCAGCAAGATGGCTGATGCAGAGTGGTACTGGGGAGACATTTCCAGGTAAAATTTATCTGGCTAAAGAATGGATCCAGTGTTAATGTCCACACTTGGTTATTTACAGTTGAGACCACAATCTTCTGTTTCAAGAAGAAAAGATTGTCACTCATCTTACTCACCCAGCTTTAATGACGTAATCATGATATTTTTTTCCAGAGAGGAGGTGAATGAGAAGATGAGAGACACTCCGGATGGGACTTTCTTGGTCCGAGACGCCTCAAGCAAGGTGCAAGGAGAATACACATTGACTCTCAGGTAAGGGTATCGATAATAAAGTCTGTCTAAAAGAGACTACACTGCTCAAAAAAATAAAGGCAACACTAAAATAACACATCCTAGATCTGAATGAATGAAATAATCTTATGAAATACTTTTTTCTTTACATAGTTGAATGTGCTGACAACAAAATCACACACAAATTATCAATGGAAATCAAATTTATCAACCCATGGAGGTCTGGATTTGGAGTCACCCTCAAAATTAAAGTGGAAAACCACACTACAGGCTGATCCAACTTTGATGTAATGTCCTTAAAACAAGTCAAAATGAGGCTCAGTAGTGTGTGTGGCCTCCACGTGCCTGTATGACCTCCCTACAACGCCTGGGCATGCTCCTGATGAGGTGGCGGATGGTCTCCTGAGGGATCTCCTCCCAGACCTGGACTAAAGCATCTGCCAACTCCTGGACAGACTGTGGTGCAACGTGGCGTTGGTGGATGGAGCGAGACATGATGTCCCAGATGTGCTCAATTGGATTCAGGTCTGGGGAACGGGCGGGCCAGTCCATAGCATCAATGCCTTCCTCTTGCAGTAACTGCTGACACACTCCAGCCACATGAGGTCTAGCATTGTCTTGCATTAGGAGGAACCCAGGGCCAACCGCACCAGCATATGGTCTCACAAGGGGTCTGAGGATCTCATCTCGGTACCTAATGGCAGTCAGGCTACCTCTGGCAAGCACATGGAGGCCCCCCAAAGAAATGCCACCCCACACCATGACTGACCCACCGCCAAACCGGTCATGCTGGAGGATGTTGCAGGCAGCAGAACGTTCTCCACGGCGTCTCTAGACTCTGTCACGTCTGTCACATGTGCTCAGTGTGAACCTGCTTTCATCTGTGAAGAGCACAGGGCGCCAGTGGCGAATTTGCCAATCTTGGTGTTCTCTGGCAAATGCCAAACGTCCTGCACGGTGTTGGGCTGTAAGCACAACCCCCACCTGTGGACGTCGGGCCCTCATACCACCCTCATGGAGTCTGTTTCTGACCGTTTGAGCAGACACATGCACATTTGTGGCCTGCTGGAGGTCATTTTGCAGGGCTCTGGCAGTGCTCCTCCTACTCCTCCTTGCACAAAGGCGGAGGTAGCAGTCCTGCTGCTGGGTTGTTGCACTCCTACGGCCTCCTCCATGTCTCCTGATGTACTGGCCTGTCTCCTGGTAGCGCCTCCATGCTCTGGACACTACGCTGACAGACACAGCAAACCTTCTTGCCACAGCTCGCATTGATGTGCCATCCTGGTTGAGCTGCACTACCTGAGCCACTTGTGTGAGTTGTAGACTCCGTCTCATGCTACCACTAGAGTGAAAGCACCGCCAGCATTCAAAAGTGACCAAAACATCAGCCAGGAAGCATAGGAACTGAGAAGTGGTCTGTGGTCCTATTTGTAAGTCGCTCTGGATAAGAGCGTCTGCTAAATAACGTAAATGTAAATGGTCACCACCTGCAAAACCAGTCCTTTATTGGGGGTGTCTTGCTAATTGCCTATAATTTCCACCTGTTGTCTATTCCATTTGCACAACAGCATGTGAAATGTATTGTCAATCAGTGTTGCTTCCTAAGTGGACAGTTTGATTTCACAGAAGTGTGATTGACTTGGAGTTACATTGTGTTGTTTAAGTGTTCCCTTTATTTTTTTGAGCAGTGTATTTTGTCTCTCTTAAAATAAGCTTCAAGTAATCCCTAGTCACTCGTTTCAAATGCAATGACATTCCACCACTTTGGATAGCTTCCAGACTTTCACAGAACCTCACTAACATTGCTCAACTGCTCTGGACTTTTCTAGGAAAGGGGGAAACAACAAGCTGATCAAGATCTTCCACCGAGGCGGCAAGTACGGCTTCTCTGAGCCGCTGACCTTTTCCTCTGTGGCGGAGCTCATCCTGCATTATCACCAGGAGTCGCTGGCCCAGTACAACCCCAAGCTGGACTCACGGCTACTGTACCCTGTCTCCAAATATCAGCAGGTAGTAGATATCAGCAGGTAGTAGAATGATTCTGTTATTATTGTAATGTCTTATGTATCCTGTTCTGAAGGGCCTGAATGTTGGTTTGGCTTCTGGGCCAGGTCTGGGCCTTATGTCAATGGGACTACTTGGTTTATAAATAGAGGTGATATAAGAGAAAAGTAATGCAGCCTTCGAACAGCACCCCTACGCTTTCTGGAAGGCCCTACATTTCTTATGGCACATGCGTTAAGGAAAATCCCAAACCCATGGCATCCCCAAGAGCACTGCAATAGCTTGTCTGAAATGTTATCAAACAATTCTGTTTAAGCGAGGAGTTTGCTTGCTGCCCCTCTCTATTTGAAATACATTGAGCCCACATTGAGTGTTCTGTAGCTCAACATCGTGCTGTGGTCAGTTAATATATCTTTGTTATTTCCAGGACCAGGTGGTGAAAGAAGACAACGTCGAAGCAGTAGGAGAGCAACTGAAGGTGTACCATGAACAGTACCAGGAGAAGAGCCGGGAATATGACGTCTTGTATGAAGACTACACTCGCACCTCTCAGGTACATATCCAACACACCCATTTTCACTGTCCCATTTGGGTCTGGGTTCCATAGCACTTGAAATTAGCTAAACCTCATCTGTTTTCCCCGTACTCCAGGAGTTACAGATGAAGCACACGGCCATCGAGGCCTTCACCGAGACCATCAAGATCTTTGAGGAGCAGTGCGAGACCCAAGAGCGCTACAGCAAGGAGTACATTGACAAGTTCCACAGGGATGGCAACAGCCAAGAGATTGAGAGGTATCTACATTGCCTGTTTTAGGATATTCCTGTTGTGATACAGGCTTTGAACTAGCCCTCTGACTATGAAGCCAGTAGTGATCATGACTATGAAGTGGGGGACCTCCCAATCTTGTCGCTCCACCTTATAGAATCCAAAGTAATTCGGATAAGCTGAAGTCTCGTGTGACTGAGATCCATGACAGCAAGCGGAAGCTGGAGCAGGACCTGAAGGAGCAGGCGGCGGACAACCGAGAGATTGACAAGAAGATGAACAGTCTGAAACCAGACCTCATGCAGCTGAGGAAGATCAGAGACCAGTACCTGATGTAGGTTATACCTTTCTCTCACATACACACACTTTACAATGCGAAACTGAAATGTTTAGGAACATGGCAGTCTAACCGTTTGCTTGTGTTAACGTCCCAGGTGGCTCAATCAGAAGGGCACCAGACAGAAGAAGATTAACGAGTGGCTGGGGATCAAGAACGACGTGGAAGAGTGAGTTAAACCAATGTGGCCGTCTGACAGTTGTAATGTATCACCATGTTTTATCATGTCTTATCGTGTATCATATTGACACTGGTTTCATCCCCTCTTCCCCTCCTCTCCCTCCCAGCCTGTATTCTCTGATGGATGAGATGGATGACCTGCCGCACCACGACGAGCGCAACTGGTATGTGGGCGACATCAAGCGCGGCCAGGCCGAGGAGCTGCTGAGGGGCAAGGGTGACGGCACCTTCCTGATCCGAGACAGCCAGTCCCAGAAGGGCTCCTATGCCTGCTCTGTAGTGTGAGTACCATTAGCCTGATCTGGGGTCACATAATGATTTGGGTTGAAATACGACTAGACTGTTGGTTGGGGTTTAGCCAGGTTTGTCAGGTGTTTTCTGGACTCACCTGCCGAGATGATGCCTGAAAATCTCAAATGCATGGGAAATGTGGGGACTGTCTGAAAACATGGTTGGCCAATCTTATCCGCAAAGAGCCGTTAAGCATTAACACAACTGAGTCAGCTCATCCAAACCTACGGGACTGAGGAACATTTGGGATTGAGGCATATAGCAGGATCTTCAAAATCGATGGTGAGTAGGTCTTGATGGTAGTCCACTTCTGAGGTCCGAAAACATCTGACAAACTTTGATTTTGTGGTGAAATACCACTATTTATTTGTATTTGTATTATATTTCGGTGTGGTGTCTAACCAAATGTTCTGTTCTTGACTTCACGTCTGTACATGCAGTGTGGACGGGGACATCAAGCACTGTGTGATATTCAAGACCTCAACGGGCTACGGGTTTGCCGAGCCCTACAACCTGTACGCTTCCCTTAGAGAGCTGGTGCTCCACTACAGACACACCTCCCTGGTCCAGCACAACGACTCGCTGAATGTAACTCTGGCATGTCCTGTCCTAACCCAGCAGCAACCCAGATGAGACGCAACGTCACCCAGACACAGCCCGGCACAGGGCGAAAACACACAGAACTCAGAGACCACAAACCCTCACTTTTCCCAACAAAAAAGCAAATGGCTTTCTGAGCGTTGGGTTTGACAGGAGTGGAAGTGGCAGATATAATGACTGACTGGGTTTTGACTTTGAAGAGACCCTGTAAATGTTATTAGGATAAAAATAATTAGACTATCTTAAAGTAACTGCTGTAGATTCCATTTTCCCTTTCAATGGAGGGAATTATTTTTAAATCGACTTGTTAAGGGTGCCATTCTTTTTTTCTACAGTTAAAGAGGCGTAAGGGTTTGACATGGAGAACAAAAATACCAAACAGCCTTTTTCGGTTTTCATCAAGTGTTGCTCACATTGTCCATGGCTGGATGATTGGGAGATGTGGTAAAAGGCTTAACTGGCAGTGTTTTATTGCTTTACTTCAAGTTCATATTAATACACATTTTCTCCCACAGCACTATGGGACACATACAAAGAAAGCATTCTGCTTTCTGTGTAATCTTTGCTATGTGCCCTATTACATAAAGCAGAACATGTCTAGAGGACAAAATACAGTACCAATGTGTTAAACAAAAAGATGCATTTGTATTTTTCTGCAAGCTTTTTTTTGTTGTTGACCTATGTAAAACTGGGTTTAAAATAGTTTGAGGTTGATGATATTAGAGGCTGGTGTAGCTTGAGGACCCTAATTGCTGTAACAGACAGTGGCATGTAATGTGAGCTGGAGTTGCAGTCCTTGATGGTGGAACACTTGGTAGTGAAAGTGCCTTCTGTTCTAATCCTCTGTCTTCCATTCTCTCTCTGTAGATCAGAGTCAGTGTAGATGCCTTGCCCCAATCAGATGCCAAGTGTTTGTGTATGAAACTAGAAATCTGAAATGGACCTTGCTATTGATTGCCTTAGAGCAATCACTCACTAACTGTAAGTCGCTCTGGATAAGAGCGTCTGCTAAATGACAAAAATGTAAAATGGGCAACTCCCTCAGACTTTTACCTGGGACTACTGCCACTGACTGCTCAGAGTGCACACATCTGCTTTCCCAGGTTAGGGTCAGGGCTCAGTGCACACATCTGGTTCCCCAGGTTAGGGTCAGGGCTCAGTGCACACATCTGGTTCCCCAGGTCTCAATCAGTTGCTGACTTAAAGGAACGAATGAAAGCCAGCAGACATTCTTGAGGACCGAAGTTCCCCACCCCTGCATTACAATGGCGGCGTTGGAATTGTCCATGGTGAAAATGGATTTCCGTTCACATTTTGTAGTTGAGTGGATAGATGGTAGATCTTATGGGGGTTGTGTACCTGATTTAAGAAACATTGTCTTTTCACTACATTTTGACATTGGGTTATGTATGCAGTATTTGTCAGTCTCTCATTAAGGTAACGGTAGCCTAATTCCACGATTTTAAACCGCGTTTTACTTAATCGGACCTTACCTGCCACACTTTATGAATGCACTTCTTTCCCAGGACACTCGCTTCACGTGTTGTACTGTAATGCTAACATATGCACAAGATATTATAGGTAGACTTGAAACAAACTACTTTGACAAACTGATTAGTACTATGCAGCGAGTTAGTAGATATACAACTTGACGATGCCTCATCAAAATAGATTTTGATTTCTTGACGAATCATTGAATGAGTGATAACCCTTACGTTTGTCATGTATTAATCAGACATTGGTTCATTGGTGCATATGACAGTGCATTGGCGCATTTTATTGCTCACTTTTAGGAGTGATTAGATTGCCAAGCATGTTGGGATTGGCGTAAATCAACCTTTTATAGATGATAATGTTGATGTTAATCTGGTAAACCCGTTTCTTATGTTTATCTGGTAGTTAGGAGAAAAGTGTCTCCTTGGAGAGAGATGACACTAATAGTCTGTGGACTGTTTACTGAACATACCTTTCAGGCAGAGTCCTGCTCAGTTAGGTTGCCCTTCAGGTCAACGGATCTTTGAAAACTGGGACAATCTAGTTGAGTTTTCTTGGCATGTGAGAGTAGTTTAAAAAAAGAGAGCAAAAAATAAGTTTCTGGTTTTTTTTCAAATTGCACATGGTGGTTCTGCATGCAGTGTAAGACTATGTATGCCATTCACCGACATGACCACAGCCAGGTGTAAGACTAGCTACAGATTGTACGCCAGATAATGTGCTATAACCAAAGATTTTTGGTGTCCATTACTGAGAAAAGACTCACAAACCCCCGCCATAGATTTTTCAACGAACCTGTTCTTGGCGATACTTTTTTTCACCGAATCGAGAATAAAGAAAGTATCTGAGAAATGTCAGTTTCCAGTTGCATGTGGTTTACAAAAACCAACAAAAACTCCAAGATATTACATCCAAGTTTTGTACGGCGTGAGGGGGTGCCTCGCATTTAGCATTTCCAAGCATTATTGACGGAACTAGTAGTTTCTATGCGACGCGGCCACATGTAGAAGTAGGTGACAAACAAAGATCTAAGAACATGCAAGAGGCATATCTCAGTTAAACATTAATATCTTTCTGAATTTTCAATGGTTTTTGTAGAACCACCTGCAACTGGAAACAGACATGTCTAAGATACTTTATTTATTCTCGATTCGGTGAAAGTATAGCCAAGAACAGGTTAGTTGAAAAATCTATGGTGGCGGTTTGTATGGGGCTTTCGTTTAACGCCCAGTAATGGACACCAACAATCTTTGGTTATATCACATTGTCTGGTTATTTCACATTCTCTGGCATTCAATCTGTAGCTAGGTGTAGACAGTCTTTTCACATTGTGCCAGGCTCAGGAATTGTTACATTGTTTCCCCTCGCCTTTTCTGTGGTTTTGGGTTTATATTGGAGATTATGACAAAAGCTATGCTTGATTTCTGTCTCACAGACCGTTATGACGGTGCAACGTAAAACGACACTCTTCCTCAGCTTATGAGAAAGCCTGTGAGTGGGGACAAATTTGAGGCTTGAGTAGGGATGTTGCTGTGCCAATGTTAAAATCTGCTACTGTAAATGCACTACAAAGACATGAATCGGGAGCTCATGTTTCAGGAGTTTTATTACAATTGGACTTGAACAGGCTCATTCATTTACAAAAACTGGCTATGATAGGTCAGAAACACTCCTCATAGTGGACATCTCATTGTAAGACAAGGACAGTTTCATTGAAGTGGCGCTTTTAATGGTCTGTTTGAAAGTGGCTTTTATGAAATCTGTTTTGTTATTTGTTCATCATAACCTGAACAGATTTAAGTGAATACTTTTTGTGATATTCTTTACATTTATATTTCATGGTTATTTTATTTGTATCTCTAAATAACAAAATAGATTGAAAAGACTGTTAGGCTGTTTACACAGGCAGACCAATTATATTTTCTCCCACTAATTGGTATTTTGTCCAATCAGATCAGCTCTGATGTGAAAACATCTGATGTGATTGGTGAAAAAAAATATTAATGGAAAAAATATCAGAAATAGGCTGCCTGTGTAGACGCAGCCTTAGAAAACCTTTTTGAAGAGACTGATAGATTTTGTCATCGAGAATGAAACTGTCGTAGTGTTTGTTGTATCTTGACTTTCAATAGTTTAAGAGTGCTTGGTTTTTAGCTTTGTGAAACTGTACTCCCTTGAAATAATGGAAGTCCGTTAGATACTGTCATTTGATACACGTAGTATGTGTATAATACTTTATACAACCTGGCTGGAGTTAAGTAATTTGAAATGTGGAAAACCCCCCAAAACATTGCTAATGAACAGCAAAATGCACTTTTAAATTGACAGTAAGCAACATTAGTAAAAATAATCTGTACAATTATTGCATTACCTAATGAAAATTCTGTCTGCACTCCATATGATGTATTTGTCGGACTGGTTGTTTTGTATGGTACTAAAGAAAAAATAAACCATAAAGTTGTCAAAATACCTTTGACGTTTCCCCCAAAATTATTCTGACAAAAGCGATCCCTTGCTCAGAATACAATTGAGTGTAAATGTTGTGAGAATTGTGACATCTACTGTCACATGGTCATACAATTAGGACTTTCCTCACATTAGCCTTGGCAATTTTCTATGTAGTTAGAAATGTGATGATGGACTGTTTCATGTACTGCTATTTCCTTAATGTTGTGACTGTATGTATATACATTATTCATTATCTATTAGATGTTAATTCAGTCAATCAAGAAGGATTCTACTCTTGCCTAAGTTTGAAGTTTGTTCTTATGCCTGTTTTGCCTACCAATTTGTCCCTATATAAGGAGAAGTGGCTGAAGAGATGATATGGCTGTTGTGGGATGTCCAATGAGAGAGTTTGGTCACAAGAATCCATCTCATCATCACAGCTGAGGATGATTGTTGTAATCATTGGTGGGAGGAGCTCCAACCCACTGGCTTTTCAAATAGGTCACAGTGTTGTCTGAGGGAAATGTTAAGGAAGGCTCTGGCTTCAGTACCTGTAAGCAACATGAAGTTTGCCTCTGTGTTAGTCCTCCTTTTTTTCTGCTCTACTTTCAAGAAGTCCCAAGGAAAGTCAAAGCCCAAACCGGGCTGTGAATACCCCCCGTCACAGTGGTGTAGGAGTTTGGAAATTGCAATAGAATGTGGGGTAAGTTTGGAGTATTGTTATCAAGTTCAAATAACTGCCCTCAGACATAATGCCAGTTGCTAGGCTCTGTTTTTAGTCTTTCATAAAATCTATTTTCATGTACCTTTTTTTCTTTGATTATACCCTGAAGTACTTTTTAATTTGTTGCATGCAGGCTACTACAGAAGTTATTCAGTTGAATGATTTAAATAACCTGTCATTTTGTAGAAATCAACTTTCCTATGTCTAATCTCACCAAGCATTAACACGTTCTCCTGCAATTTCCATGTTATATGACAAGGGCAATATGTGAGTATATCCCATGTTTATCAGGATTGTGGGTTCAGTTTTAAATAGCTGTTCAAAGAGTCCCTTGTCCATGGTTAAATGAGTCATGCTTTTAAAATTGAGCACCAGAGGTCTTACATTTCCTGAGGGCATGTGACTGACGCCAAACCTTGATGAGCTGCGTTTAGACAGGCAGCCCAATTCTGATATTTATTTTCACATTGGTCTTTTGACCAATCAGATCAGCTCTGAAAAATATGTGATTGGTCAAAATAACAGGGGGTTGCAAGTGGCATGGTTCCCACATTTTACTCTGGTGAATTCTAGGCATATCTCCATATGAACAGAATGTAAATTATTTGTCAACTTGAAACAGTTCCTGCCCAGCTTTCTCTGAACATGTATCACGTGCTCATGTATCCTGTCTAGGTTCAGAAGCAATGTCTGGAGCTCAATGCCACAAGGCCCAATTCAGCGGTACCCAGAGTTGAGGTGACCCTGTACTATGAGAGCCTGTGTCCAGGCTGCAGGGTCTTCCTCACCCAGCAGCTCTTCCCCACCTGGGCCATGCTCCACGATATCATGGAGGTGAAACTGGTGCCCTACGGCAATGCGCAGGTAGGCCTCTTCTCAAGATGAAGAGTACTGGGTAATGTTCAGTAGGGAGGGCACATTGTAAAAAGGTTGTACAGGTTGTACCTCAGTATAGGTCTTTGATAGATCCATCCTCAGTCCCCGACTACTGAATGAATAAGAAAATTAGAGCTTGTGTTCATGCTGCAGGCTTTTCCCTGGTCTTCTTTCACAGGAGCTTCCCTCAGGGAATTCTCCATTCACCTGTCAACATGGGGAACCAGAGTGTCAAAGCAACATGATTGAGGTGCGCTTCCCAATAAAATGGCTTGAATCACTAAAAATAGGTAGTCTGTCCCTGAAATAGTTTTTGTATTTCATACATTCCCCTTAGGCATGTATTCTACGTTCAGTGGGTCTGTACTTGGCATTCCCTGTCATTGACTGCATGGAATCTGCAGCAAATGTTCTCGACGCCGCCCAACCTGTGAGTATTGTAATATGTTTTGCTGTTGCATACTTTTTTTAAAATTCAAAATGCATTTGTTCACATTTTGTTTACACATCAAGGGCTCTGGTCGTAGTTATATTGGTTCTAACATGCAGTCTGTTCTCCTCTAGTGCTTACAGCTACACGTCCCCTCAATGACGTGGGACAGTGTCACATCCTGTGTGAAGGGAGAGCTCGGCTTCAAACTGATGCATGAGAATGCCCTGAAGACTAACGCTCTCAGTCCAGCCAAAACGCACGTCCCCTGGGTGACCATTAATGGGGTAGGACACTGCTGGGACTGAAACTAGGGGCACAATGTAAATAACATGGCTATAGTACAGCCAGTGGTATTCAACTCTTACCCTATGAGGGCTGGAGCCTGCTGGTTTTCTGTTCTACCTGATAATTTATTGCACATGCCTGGTGTCCCTATCAGATTAGAGGTGAACAATGGGAGCAGTGGAACTTGCTTCTAGGTCCAGAGTTGAATTTGAGGGCTCTACAGATTATTAACCATAGCGTTACTGAGTGCTTCTTTTTGAACTGATACCCTGCTACTTAATACACTGTGTATAGGTCATGGAATCAAACTATGTGCCAAGGTCAAGTCTGTACATGACTTTCCAATTCCTCCTTTTTGCGTCTTTGCAGGAATACACTGATGACTTTCAGGACAATGCAATGTCATCGCTTTTCAACTTGGTCTGCAAGATGTATAAGGTTTGTGTGGTTGGGGGGTGGTGTGACTAGTCCTTGTTTGATGTACAATTTAAATGTATTTGAGTATTAAACTGATCAACTTGGTCATGGCCTGAGCTAAAATGTAATGATCACCCATATTTGTCCACAGGGAGGCAAGCCCCCTGCCTGCACTGGAGCGCAGAAGAAACTAGACAGGAGTCTGTGCTGAAACCAACAGTCATATTCTGCATGCCATTCATGTTTTCAAAATATATTTTGTGTAAGTACCAGTTTCCCTCATGATCTATGTTGGACTTGCATGGTCTTTCAAAATAATCTGTTACTTATTTGTATTTCATGAATTGTAATACTGATATATTCTGTGTGATTTGTATGATACATTGTCATAACTCCATATGTATTGATAATTAAAAGGTTCCAATTTGTATGAACAGTTTGTTGTAAATTTAAATCCTAAAAGTGCATATACTGTGGGGTCTGAAATTAGACACAGATGAGCAATAATTACTAAAATATATTCAAATATTGAGCTGTATGCTCAAAGAAATTGGGAAATTATTTTATACTAATACAATTGCTCAGTAAGTAATACTTTTTCCTCAAAGGTAGGGGTCAATTGACACCCCTAAAGATTCTTGTAAATAAAGTAGTGTTTATTTGGTCCCATATTCCTAGCACGCGATGACAAGCTTGTGACTTAACTTGTTGACGCATTTGTGGTTTGTTTCGATTATTTTGTGCCCGATAGTAAATAATGTAGTCATGAGTCACTTATTGTAAAGAGTTTCTAAACACTTCTACATTAATGTGGATGCTACAATGAGTACGGATCCTCCTGAATGAGTGAGAAAGTTAGAGGGTCAAAGATCATACCCCCCCCCCCCCCCGCCAAGACATTCTCACCAATAACAGGAGATGTTGGCATGTCTTGGGGGTATGATCTCTGACCCTCTCACTCATTCAAAGATTAGGCTGGGATTGATGCCGCGTTCACGTGGTAGTCGGAACTAAACTCATGACTTGCTAACTGGTTGTAGTTATACACGTACAGAGTTCAACCAGTTAGCAAGTCGGAAATTTGAGTTTCCGACTAGCACGTGAACGCGGCATCAACCCAACAGTTTAACTACTTGGGCACAGCGATAGATTTAATCAGATGCACAAATTGTGATACAGGTTTCCATAATTTATTGGCATTTTCACTGAACTCCAGCAACTTTTGCTGTTAAAATATTGGAAGGTAAACTTTTTGAAATATATTGACAGACACACTAAAATGTCCAACTTGGCCCAACATTGCGGATAAAAACAAATGGTATACCATGTCAGTTTCAGCAAAGCAATAAAAGGACCAAGAGAACGAAGTGTCACCATTCTAACTTCTCAGACAACACGTTTAACACTGAATGGCACTGATTTATGTATATATATTTGTGTACTTTTCTCCCTGCCTTACCAGGAAAAGAGTAAGCGGGAAATACTAAATACTTGAGTGTTAGTTCCCAGGCAAGTTTACCATGCTGGAGCTGTTGTTGGATGTTATTTTCAGATGTCACTGTCCTCCGTTAAGGATAGTTCAGTGATTTTTATATACACTGAACAAAAATATAAAAACAATTTCAAAGAGTTTACTGAGTTACAGTTCATAAGGAAATCAGTCAATTGAAATAAATAAATTAGGCCCTAATCTATGGATTTCACATGACTGGGAAAACATATGCGCCTCATGCAGCACAACATCTCCTTGGCATAGAGTTGACCAGGCTGTTTATTGTGGAATGTTGTCCCACTCTTCAGCTGTGCGACGTTGCTGGATATTGGCGGGAACTGGAACATGCTGTCGTACACATTGATGCAGAGCATCCCAAACATGCTCAATGGGTGACATTTCTGGTGACTGTGCAGGCCATGGAAGAACTGGGACATTTTCAGCTTCCAGGAATTGTGTACAGATCCTTGCTGAAACATGAGGCGGATGAATGGCTCGACAATGGGCCTCAGGATCTCGTCACGGTATTTCTGTGCATTCAAATTGCCATTGATAAAATGCAATTCTGTTCGTTGTCTGTAGCTTATGCCTGCAAATACCATAACCCCACCGCCACCATGGGGCACTTTGTTCACAACGTTGACATCTGGAAATCGCTCGCCCACATGACGCCATACGCACGGTACAGTTGAAACTGGGATTCATCTGTGAAGAGCACACTTCTCCAGCTTGCCAGTGGCCATAGAACGTGAGCGTTTGCCCACTGCAGTCAGGTCAAGACCCTGGTGAGGACGACAAACACGCAGATGAGCTTCGCTGAGACGGTTTCTGACAGTTTGTGCAGAAATCCTTCAGTTGTGCAAACCCACAGTTTCATCAGCTGGGTGGCTGGTCTCAGAGATCCCGTAGGTGAAGAAGCCGGATGTGGAGGTCCTGGGCTGGTGTGGTTACATGTGGTCTGCGGTTGTGAGGCTGGTTGGACGTACTGCCAAATTCTCTAAAACTACATATGGTAGAGAAATGAACATTAAATTATCTGGCAACAGCTCTGTTGGACATTCCTGCAGTCAGCATGCCAATTGCACACTCCTTCAAAACTTGTGTGGCATTGTTGTGAGAGAACTGCACATTTTAGAGTGGCCTTTTGTCCCCAGCACAAGGTGCACCTGTGTAATGATAATGCCGTTTAATCAGCTTCTTGGTATGCCACACCTGTCGGGATTATATTGGCAAAGAAGAAATGCTCACTAACAGGGATGTAAACATTTGTGCACAAAATTGAGAAATAAGCCTTTTGTGCATATGGAAAACTATATTTTTGTTCAGTGTACTTATATTTGGCTGTGGCTAGTTAAGTTGTACAGTATTGGTTTAACTAAAACAATTAGGGGTGCAATGAGCGAACGCAATGATAGAAATTCACTGAAAATTGATGTTTCAGTGTTGCCTTGGTCAATTGACATTCACATACTGTAGGTAAAAGCTGTAGCCCTGTGAAGAGCAGAGTATTTAAGGGCTCTGTTCAATCTGTATCGCTGAAGCGTTACAGATTGCGCAATATGAAGGTAATTTCTGATCGAGCCGACATATGCAACGTTTACCGTGCAGTCTCCGTTATGCGGGAACATTGCCTTTAAATTCCAATCACGCTGTAACGCTTAACTTCACCGATACGGATTGAATAGAACTCTACGTCAAAGCATTACATCCAATGTATAAAGTCAAGGTATTACAGTTTCCATTAAAATTATAGCATAATTCTGACAATTGATGAAACAACACTTTTTAAAGTCAAAGTATGACATGATTACAATCAACAGTTCAGAGAGAACTTTGTTCAACATTTCATTACGACTTAGGTTGGCAGATGCTTTTGTTCAAATTCCAAAGACTGTCACAATTTTCCCTGTCAACTGGTTTCCCTCGAGAACAAATCAAACAAGACATTAGGGGCTTATTCAGGTGAATGGAAAATTATCCAATGTCAATACAGAATGTACAGTATTGTGTAAACCAGACATGATTTTCTGTTGCATACTACAGGGAATCGTATCAACGCTGTTCATTACATTTCTATCTGCAACTTTCAAAGCATCACACCCTACTGAATAAGCCCTAATTAGTTACTCTGCGGCCCTGTTCAGAAACAACCCCTAAAACCTCGACACTTGTGGAGATCTGACAGGATTTTATAGGTTTAAAATGCAGCCGTTTTTGACTCTCTATCAAATAATTTCTGGGTAACAATTAAGAACCTTACTGTGATCATTTTCAATAAAAATTGTAAAAAATAACCAAATGGCTTCTTAGCAAAATACAATTTCTCAAGCAAGAATTTAGCTAGGACTGTCAGAGTGGTCTGAGGGGCCTAATTGGAGGAGCCTAATGGGAGGGATGTGTAAACTGAGCTAGCTGTTATTGGCAGAGAGGAGGGCAAACTCTCCTGTTATTGGTCTATGAACTAACACAAAGTGCATTATCATAATTTCACAGTATTATTCCAACCTCAGTGTTGAAATGTATATATAAAACACAGGAAATCATGTTTTTGACTGTGTGGCCCTTTAAGCTACATAAATCTCACCCTCTGCTAGGTGGATTTTCTCCCTACTGCTTACACCTATCCATTCCTCTCAGCTCTAGATGTGTCTAGGTGTTAGGCCTAGGGGTTGTTTCTGGACAGGAACTACAGCCTTCCGTAGCTGTCCACTAGAATCATGGTTTGGCTCAAGCTCTTTAGAACTGAATGGGCTTCCTCTACAACAAAAATTGTAAAGTGCTACTGTATGGTGGAGACACCCTGATAATGATGCTTACAAAGCACAGAGACAAACAGACCTTGGGTGTATTCTTACTTCTTGCAACGGAAACCATTTACCGGAAGCAAACAGAGCAAATGGAACAAAACGGGGAGAGACCTACCTGAATTTGTCCAATAGAAACTCATTTTCAATTTGTAGTAAACGGTTTGTTGCAAAACGTTTTGCAACAGACTAAACATTTTGCAACAGAATCGGCATAATGAATACACCCATGGTGTATTCACTATGTTTTTTAATTTGATTTGAAATAGATCAGTTTTGTTATATAAAACAAAACTGAACTATTTCAAATCAAATTAAAAACGTGACAACGTAAAACATGATCACATAGAAACAAATACAATTTTACAAACATGAGTGTAAGTGGTGTTAGTCTAGATTTAAAACAACTTCTATTGTGTACCCCAATCAACCACAGTACTTCGGGATTTTTTTGAAATACAATTTACTGGTTCTGTTGGTTTCATATTTTATATTTAAATTGCTTAAGTTCTCAAACTCATTAACTTTTCAATTGAGATCAATAGAGGGCGCCAGACACAAATAAATATGTATTTTTGCATAACTTGAACCTCTTGAAGCAGTAAGGTTCTAAGAGCTGTTTGTTATCAGTAACAAAACTCGAACAGGCAGTCTAGGTTAAGGGGTACCCAAGAAGTCCGTGCTACATTAAAATAATTTATCTCGTCATACCCTGAGGTTTAAGTTACAATTCTCTCACTATTCAGGTACATACTGGATTAGGTCAAACATTCACAGAATTCTCAGACTAAACAAAATAAAATATACTCGTTTATGCTGACTGAATTCAAATGAATATCATCCCCTAAATGTGTGCTGCAAAAGTTCCAAGACCCTGTAAAATGATTACAATTCTTACAATATTCCATTGAATATATCTATATTCCATCATTTTGAGGAAGACATTGTTTTCTCAGTACAATTCCTTGCTTCGTCGGGAGGCTGGTTAGCTTGTGGTTAGTTCTCTACCTTTGAGTCTAAGACACTTTCCCCCAGAATCAACTACAGAATGCAGGACAAAAAAGTCCTATCTGGCACACAGAAGAAATAGAGGATAAAACGACACTTCTTGTTCTACAAGATTAAAAAGTGTAAAGGTGTCTCCAGTGTAAAGGAACTGTTGTCAATACAGACTTGATAAAAAGCCCACCCTGCACGTCCAATTGCTGCTGGGACCCACGAACCAAGGCAGGGACAGAATGAGTTGAAGGGAGGGCCAAGGTTGGTGTTACGTGCCAAGCCGTAGGTAAGCTACACTACTGCCTTCCTGGACCAGTTCTCTGTCCCTATCGCCTATGTCGTCCACGCCCAGCCCGGGGCTCAACGTTCTGAGATGACCGGGGCTCCTAACCGACATGGTGGCCAGACTGAGGGCCCGGCCGGGGTGGGGGGAGGGGGGCCGGTATCTGCTGCTGGGCTCCGGGGATGGGGACGGGGTCTTCCTAGAGGTCTCTCCCCCCTGTGACGTCTCCTCCTCAGGGGGGCTCTCCAGGTCTGAGTCACCCTCCTCCTCCTCCTCCTCCTCCTCCAGGGTGAGTTCAAACTGGAACTTGTCCCCTGCGGAGGCGCAGCATCCCCCCGGCGTGGCTTCCAGGGCACCTGGCTCCTCGTCAAGGTCCCTGTCCTCAAGGGTGGATGAGGGGCTGCGCTGGATCATACTCTGGTACCACTCCCGGTTGTCCTCCAGGTTATCCAGGATGTCCTGGGCGTCAGGGTGGACCAGGTCAGCCCACGTCTCCCACAGAGGGTGGACGATGTAGTCTATGAATCCCACCTGCAGAGGGGAGTAAAGATGTTTTGGTTTTGATGGGTTTCAACAGACATTATGACAATAATTTGCAAGCTACTGGGTCTGTTAAGCAGTGACAAACACCTGCGGGTGGGTTTGCAGATTTTCGTACGGTACCTGGGTCTTCTCAACGGAGGCGTTGTGTTTGTCACACATAGGGCTGATCTCAATTCCCTTGTCCCTCTCCCTGTCCCCCTGGGTGAAGAACTCCACCATGATGCGATCGGTCCACTGACGGTAGACCTCCAGGGGCTTGGTGGGGTTACTGAGGTCAGCACAGTGAACCATGTTCTGAAGGACCTGGAGACACGCAGGGAGGCCCATGTTAGTTCTTGGTTTATCTATTGCTTAGATATTTTTTGAAGAAGTATATCGTTTTTATTCATATTTATTTTGTCATTTCTATTTCAGACATTTATATAAAAACCGTAAATGTACATGACACTATGAAGTCTTGAGTTATTTTAGACAACTGCACTGATCACACTAGTCTCCGGTAAACTAGTGACTGCATTGCTCACAGTTCAGATTCAACACCAGAGTCCATTTCAATGATCTGAAGTGACTTCCTCTCCTTGTCTCCTCTCAAACTCCCAACAGCGTTCCCCTCAAATTGCTTTCACCTATCCTGTATCCACATATCTTCGATGTCTGATGAAAACCTCTTATCTCTAAAACAGAAACTTTTCAGGAAATTTGAAAAAATGTCCTTATTTTCCCATTAACAAACATACAATTATGACACTTCAGAAGCTATTTTGAATACACTTGATTGGTCCTAGAGTCATGTTCAGAGTACATTGAGGGGAGTTACTGCTTTCAATAAATAAAAAATAAAAACATCTAAATTGGCAAATGGAGTTATAAGGTTTTCATCAGACAGCGCCGATATTCAAATAAGTTCAGGTGAGTGAGACGGAGAAGAGGAGATGACGTCACTGTAGACTATTGATACGTGGCCTGTGGCGTGTCTACAAATGACCTCTGACCTGGATGCGGTCTGAGTAGTTGTCCAGCAGCAGCACTCCCAGGCTGGTCACCTTCTTGGTCTCCACCATGGTCTTCAGGTCAGCCAGGAAGTTCATGTGCTTGGACATGTCAGTGGCCAACACCTGCAGAGGACAATACCAAATATGTTTTAGTATGAAGATTATGTAGAAACGGCTTGTTGGGCCTCTGGGTTTAGAAACTCTATGACAATACCAATTAATCACACTTACTTCAGTCACTAGTTCCAATGGGTCAGTGGGTTTGGGCATGGTGATGCCTACATCCAGGGTTGTGTTGTGGGTTTGATACTGAATATACTGTATGTGTGAAATGTACCGGTAACTGACTTTGGGGAAAAGTGTCTGCTAAATGGCCATATCATTATGATGTCGGCTCATTCCTTATCATGTTTAACTATGATAACATGGAGGTGTGTAGCTAATATTTAATTTATATTCAATTCCAATTCATTCAGTCAGTGTCTCACCATGTCGATGACCATCTTCCTGAGGGACTGTCCCTGTTTCTTGCTGAGGCTCTGGAAGATGTCACAGTTGTCCTCCTGCAGCAGCTTGAAGCCCACAGCCAGGTGGTGGTTCTCCAGGACCGAGGCGTCGTTGTACATTAGAGCCAGCTCAGAGTCTACAGTAGGAACACCCACACCATTAGTAAAGCAACAACAATTCCAAGGCACTCCTGTAGAGCTACAAAAAAGGTATTTATTAGGTTCAAAACAACAGAAGAAACAATTATCCAGAGATCAAACTCCGCCTTACAGACGCTATAATGTAGTCTTCACAGTAGTAGATCCCAGACACATTTAGCTCCAAAGGACATATCCTTTAATTAGATCTAATCAGAGAGATTGCTAGTGAGGGATGGGACTGACTTGTGTTGATGAGGAACTGGTTGGACACTCCGGGGTGATCCACGTCATGTATGGCACTGGCAAACAGAGCAGCCATGATCTCTAGGTCAGTGAAGACAGCCTGAAAACAAAAAACAGACACTTTTGTGTTATTAAGTATTAACACGTAGCGTGGGGACATTCTTTTCACCTCATCTTTACTATCAACACCATGAACAAACCCCTTCTACCTTAATATGCACTGATAAAGTTGATCAAATCCAAAGCTATGCACAGGGCAAGTCTATAAACTAGATTAGAATATAGAATATGGCTGGACATCATCCTTTAATCGTCCTCATAATGGAATGTTCCATACCTCCAGGGCAGGGGTGGAGAGGAGAACGTGGGTGGACTGTACCACGTCGGCAGCGTGGATGTTGTTGTGGTAGGCCACGTCGGCATGGTAGTGGTCCTCCAGGGTCATCATGAAGGTGATAAAGGTGTCGGCTGGGATCTTAAAGTTTTTCAGCAGCTCTCGCTCCTGAGGTTGGGGAGCAACAGAAACCAGGCTCACAAGAGTAGAGCAAATATGTAACAAACTTTTGGTAATGTATCGAAGTGAATTTGGGGTAGCCCCGACCGGGACTCAAACCCTTGGCCATCACACCAAGATTCAAATGTCTTAGAAGGAATGCTAGAGAATGCTACAATTTGCTGCTGTAATGTATGGACAGAGGAGATGGATTTGGAAAGGGAGATTGGGAAAGTAATGGGAGACTCATACCTGGAAAATGGAGTACATGACCACCGTCAAAGGCCGATTCCCAGAGTATTCAGCTATCTTGAAAATATCTAGACCCCATCTGTTGATCTCCTCAAATTCCTAGAACCACAACACAACAAACTGAGAAAAAGTCTGATATGGCAATTAAGCAGAATTGTATTTAATAAATACAAAATATTATACTTTTTTAACACGCATAACAAACGATATGAGGATGGCACAAAAGTTTGCCAATAATACGTCACTGATGTTATATTAAAGGCCAAGCAATAAGCATTAAAGTAACAGCCATTCTTCAGTGTAAACAGTGTGTGCCTGTCTGTGTAAGTATGCGTGTGTGTGTGTAAGTATGTATGTGTGTGTGTGTGTGTGTGTGTGTGTGTAAGTATGCGTGTGTGTGTGTAAGTATGTGTGTGTGTGTGTGTGTGTGTGTGTATGGCGCCCACCGTGGCCAGTAGGTCCTCCTGGAGTGTGGTGACCCCGAAGCGGGGTATCTGGGTGGGGGCAAGGCTGGGGCTGAGGGCAGGCTTCTTCACCGCAACGATCTGGGACATGGGCCTCTTCTTCTTCTTCTTGTCCTTCTCCTTAGGAGGCCCAGACATAATCTCCACATCATGCTGCTTTTCTACAGACAGTGAGAGAGCGAGAAGAGAAGAGAGGAGACAGAAGAGAGAGAGAGAGAGACAGAAGAGAGAGAGAGAAGAGAGAAAATAATATATGCCCATTGGACTATGGCTGTATTGGTGTTAGGAGGGGAGCCCTGACTATTTGCCAGCCACCCAACCAGTAAGGCAGGTCGATTATTTATTTTATTTCAACCAATATATAGGAGCAGTGGCAACACGTCATTCATGTTTTGAGCCCCACCTGTTTAGCTAAAAGAAAAAAATACAGTAATACGTGTCACATATCAGTTTGCAAACAATGTAAAAGAAATAATAATAATTGAGTTAATAAAGCCACATACAAACATGGTCTCTTTTTTGCTTTCTTGAGTAAGGCAGCTCCAAAATGCAGGTGATTCAGCCTAGCTCAGTGCTTTCTGTGGGGGTGGGGCAGCCAGCAGAAAATACAGAGCGTAGGGTTTGGTAATGTTCTCTGGTTGCGCCGTGATTAGCTCAGTGTTGTGTCACTCATGGGGACACTGTCACCGCAAAATCCACGGGGAGCGCTAGAAAATTCAAGCCCATTGGGTGTTGCCATAGATTTACATTAGAAGTGCCCATCCAAGAAGGCTCAAGGTCATTGGCCACAGATAAAATTACATCAAATAATGTTATATCTACCGTAGTTTTGATTAGACTGATCATGTCAACATCATACTTTCAAAATCTTAGTTAGCAATCTAGACAAGCAGTCATCATCATGAATCAAGTTGACAATCTACTGGCAAATCCTTTTCAATCCTTGTCATATGAAGAGGAATTATAGCTAAAACGTATCGGTGCTCATCAGCCATTGGACATAAACATTACACAACAAGTTGGAAATCGCAAATTCAACAATGAGTGGTTTGGAAGGAATCAGTGGCTAACTGCAAGCGTTGCAAAGCAATCACTAGCCTGCTATTCAGTGGAGAGGGTGTGTGATCCAAGTCTGGGTTTAAGGTTCTCTTTTCCAAGCTTAAAAGGATCAACATTCACATGCAACACCATGGGCCAGAAAATTTTGAATACACTGGCCATGCTGTCGATCCAGCATGACTTCTGCCGTGTTCAAAACAACTGGAAACTCAGAACTGGGAAACCTCAGACATCAGTGAATTCAAGACAACTGGGAACTCAGAAAAAAACGAGCTCCAACTGAGAAAATACGTTTTTAACGGTCATCCAACTCGGAATTCCAAGTAGCGAACTCGGGCCTCTTTCTAGAGCTTCGACCTGAAGATCACTGATGTCATGATTCGACTTTGTTTCTTTCAGAGTTCCGAGTTGTCTTGAAAGCACCGTAAATCCAGAGAATGCCAGACTTTGATGACAAAATTTGCCCACAAGAAGGACCGCCGCGCCACCGTCCTGTTCAAGTGAGCACAGCACAACAAGGTGAGTCCAAAAATGTATTGTATGCTGTTGCATAAATTATGTTATATGCCAGGGAGCTATGTATACTGTAGCTAAGAAAGCAATACTAAGTGTATGTTGTGTAGTAAGCTGTTAGTAGCCCATGTAATAATAATTTGGTCCCTTTCCCCCTCATAACTTAGCCTACTGTTCTGACTTGGTGGTGCACATGTAGCCTATAGCCTGTTTTAGAGAAATGTCATCGAATATTGTAAGAGCTTTCATTGTCTGCTTATATGCCCCCTTTATTTATCCTACGGTTCTGACTTGGTGTACAGGGAGAATACTGTAAGAACGGCCCATGTTCTGAATTCTGTCGCTGTACATTTCAAAAGTGCTGAACAAATAGTTATATTGACTATGTCCGTACTAGCTCATTAATGTCTTAATCGAAATTACGGATTGCCTCTTATCCGCTCGTCGTTCCCTTATGCCATAGTTTGTACATCTCAATTGTCAGTAGAAATCACACTTGTTTAAGGAAGTCAGCCATATCAGCTATGTTTGTCACCGTTATAGTGTAATTGATGTATTGTTTAGTGTTGTGGCTTTGCTGGCACCAAGATTTTGCCCCAAGATTGACATGCTAAAATCGCCACTGTATAGGAGGACACTGAAAACGGCAGAAAATTAATAGTTGATTGTTAATCTTACTAACTATAGCTAATCTAAGATATTTCCACCACAAATCAGGTGAGAAATCAATTAGACTAGTACTAGGAATACTTCTTCAACTGATAACTCTCCAGCAAATGTCATCTCTCAACCAATAATGACTCCTGGTAGTCAGACAGTGCCAAATATGAGAAGACAGATCAGAATCCAAGATCCTAAAAAACAATCCCACATATCATTACGAGGACATACAATCTGCCACCCTACCCCACCACACCAAGAGAAGCGGTCTCACCAATCTCACAATATTTCCTCTTCCTTTCACCCAAAGCCATAGTTCTCCTTTCCGATCCAAGCCAACTTCAAAACAAACCAAATTATGTCAAATGGACATATATTTGCAGGATCCATCTTCTCTCCGTCTGCAAGCATTTTGGTGAAGCTCCATTCTGCCACAATATCCGTTAAAGACTGGGGTATTGACGCAAAAAGGCAGTCTAATAATATGACGGTCTCCATGGCAACGCCAGACAACGTGTCCAGGAATGCCTTGTCGCCTGCTTCCTTTGGATCCCTTCTCTTTCCCCTAACATGCTGGCTAATAGGCTAGCAGACATGCATGACAAATGCCAAGTTGAGATCTAAATATGCATATTTGTATACTCCACTATCCAACCACATAGATTGCATGACAACATGCAGTATGTTCACACTAAATATGTTGGCCTGTTCAGTACTACAACACATTATATACAAAACATGCTGTAATAATTGTGTAAGTATTTGGTAATTCATAATGCATTATAAGCACATTTATAATGCCTTATGAGCTATGCATAATAATGCAAAAACATAAACATCTATGACTACATTTATAGAGCTGTATAATGCCTTATAAAGCTAAGAAATATTGTATTTATGTACCAACTTTTGAGCAGGATGAATGCTTTACATCAATTATTATTTGACAGTAGGGTCTAAATGAATACCTTTCCTAGCCATTGCAATGCCAGTTCAGGGGCCATACTTAGAGTGCTGTTGTCACTCACCTAGGAAAGTGTTGGCGATGAACTCTGAGACTTGGTTTCCTGACCGACTGGTTTCTGACAACTGGGTGAGCTCTCTGTTCAGCATCCTTTTGAACTGGGGAACAAGATCAGACACAATGACAAGCCTCAGTGACACGACTTCATACATGGATATACAGTATGGAAAGTAGAACATGCCTCAGTAGAACAAGTGTACCAGCAGTAAAGTTCCTCTCATACTATATTTTTTTTATAAATTAACAAAACGAGAGTTCAAAATAGCAATAAACTAGATTTTTACATTCTGTTTGGTGTGATTTTTTACACCACACTCAAGTGTCAGGAGTAACTAACAAGTAAATAATATGACAGTAGTGATTTCCTTGATCCCCTCATACTGAATAACATGTCAGGATATAGAAGAAGACAAGTGTAAAATGGGATATCAATAGAGTAATAGTAGTCAATTATATCAATAAGACCAGAAAATGAATTAAGAAAATATGTTTTTAAAACAAAACAATCATACACTTCTATCATGACACAACCTCATACCCTATTCTATTCAGTGCATCACATTGGAGGGCACAAGGAGGGGAACAGTGTCTTCAGCTGGGCTCAGACCATTATGTAATCACTAACCTAACGTAGCAGGCCTAAAATAATCGCCTGAAACTAAATCCCCTACACACTGGTCTTGACCAGAAGAAAAAAAACTGTAGGGGGAGGTTCTCTTCTGCACTGTTCAACCAATCCAGTAAATGTGGAGGAGGGGTTAAGATGGAGTGTCGCCTTGTTAACGTCCAAAAGCGAAAGTCGCATCCCAGGCTCTCTTTCCATTTCCCCTGTTGATGGGGACTCGGCAGAGGCTATGTAATCACACACGTGGATAGGGGAGAGGGAGTGCACCACGCCAGCCATACAAACCACCGTATACGGTCTTAAAGGAGACATTGCATGTACACACACAAACACACACACAATGAGACATACAGGAAGGAACGGGTAGTGTACTCACAGGGATTTGTAGACACAAACACACTCACGCACATACACACAATGGAACAGGCATGTGTGTAAACACACACACAGGCATGTGTAGACTAAATAATACGCAGTTTTATACCATCTCACTGACATAATATGCAAAAACACAGACATCCAAATACATACTGTGTCCTACAGTACACCAAAGCACACTTACCATCATGCAGTTAAGAAGTTTGCACTGCAATAACAGAAAATGACACCCTGACACACACATTCCTGTGCACTCACCTGTATGTGTCCAGGACATAGAAAACAAAGTGACATAGGGCATTCCAGTGGACACATGTTGAATGTCAAAAACAAAGACGAGCGAGCAGGAGAAACCAACTTTGGTGAATCAAATCCAGTAGCAGATTCTACAGGTCTATCCAATGAGTTTAGTCACAAACTGACAGTCCTTACGTCCCAGATTGAACGAGGGGGAAGAGATCGGCAGTCAGCCGAAGACGAGGTTTCCCCGTAGCTCTGAGCTTAGTAAGTGGGACAAAGAGGATGGCCGGTGGAGGTTAAGGGGCCAGACAGACAGTCCAGCTAGGAGCAGGGCACCAGAGCACATGGCTGACTGCTGCCTAGTCTCTTCTTCCCTGTATGTGTCTCCCCTTCAACTGCCTACGTGTGGGATGCCCTACAGCCAATTGGCTACAGAGGCTGGGTGGATATGAGGGATCTGATTGGTTGTGTGTGTATATATAAATAAATAAATGAGAGAGAGAGAGAGAGAGAGAGAGAGAGAGAGAGAGAGAGAGAGAGAGAGAGAGAGAGAGAGAGAGAAGGAGGAGAGAGAGAGAGAGGAGAGAGAGAGAGAGAGAGAGAGAGACAGAGGAGAGAGAGAGAGACAGAGCAGAGAAAGAAGAGCGAGAGCGAGCGAGAGAGAGAGAGAGAGGAGAGAGATAGAGAGAGAGCGGAGGATGAGACGAGAGAGAGAGAGAGATACAGGAGGAGCGGCGTGGAAAGAAGGGATGTGAACTGATACGCATGGTTCAATGGGAGGGATGGGTTCCATTCATGTGCTGGTGTGCGTTGGTGTCTGAATGGGAGGAGGGATTGTGTATCAGTCCAATACACAAGAACTGAGTTTGGTGGTAAGAGTGCTTTTAGCTTTGCTGGCCGATGATCTCGGATCATTTTATTCTGATTGATGATTTTAAATCCCAAATTGGAGGGCTGCTGACCTCAGATTGCTCAGGTTTTTAAACCTGCTCCTTTAAGCTGTGTTATGCACTTTACACTGTTTTAACTTCCATTCATAGTTCTGTTTTATGTTGTGTTATGTCTCCTGTGGAACTAACTATACTGGTTTCGTGGCCAGGGCTCACATGTAAATAAATAAATGCTCTCTGTATGCACAAATATTATGCACAGGGGGAACGCAGCAGCAGTTCAATTTCCTGCATCTGTAAAAATGTAAATACTACAATGCAACAAGAACTGAGCTACTTGTTGGAGGGTCCAAATACGAGGATGTGACCTGTGGGAAATAACATTCCCTTGACTATGGAAATACAGCTGTTATACTGTGCCCTTTCCAAAAGCTATGGCACCTGCTGTGTAATGCCACTATGACTATGAGATGGCATAGTGAACAAAAGCACCATATCACATCAATCAACCACTGTCTTGATGCATTGAGGACAACGGCGTAGGCTACACAAGGAACTCAATTCCCCAATCTAATATGCAGGTTAAGTATAGCTTCACTTTGTAAATCCGAAACATTAGACATGTGATGCTGATGAGAGGTGCTGTGGGCTCCCCCGGCTGCAGCCCGCAGCAGGTCTCTGGAGACAGTAGATCTAAAGCCCTTTGACTCTCTGCCGAGCCCAAACAAACAAAGGTAGTATGTGTACCGTGCACATGGTCTTCAAGTGATGCGTGGCTGCAGTCTCAGCCACAGCCAATCGTAGCGTCATACATTGGACGGGGGGTGGGAGAGGCGGAGCAACAGTAATAGCTTAACATGGCGTGATATCCACGCTTTTCAGATCTATGTCCTTTTGCACACAAATGCCCCAAATAGTTCTCATTTCAGTATATAGATGGAGATGAGATTTTGGATGTTTCATTAACCAGGCCTACACCTTCGCTATGCTTCAAGCAATCATTCCCAGGTTTTTACTGTAGATGAGGCTCAGTTAAAACGCAGCTCACCTTGTTGGAAGCCATTTCGCTGACTGAGTGACGGGTCTGCAGGGTCTCCAGCTGGTCCAGACACCAGTCCAGCTCCTCCAGCGTCTCCATGGCCAGCTTCTGGTAGGGCTCCTCTGAGGGGGTCAAAGGTCAGTCTACTGTTAAAGGCCTGAGAGAGCGTTTGTTCTGATCTCTGCTGCTAAAAAAAATACTTTCAAACTTAAAGAATTTCAGTGAGTGCAGGTTTTTATTTTCTTCAAGTAAAAGCCCTGAGAGCGACCACCAGAGACCATCCCATCCAGGCCCTAGATGTACTAGACTGAGACCCAGATCAAACAAGGCCCAGTCAGGGGTGATCACTTTCTCTTTATTTTACCATATTCCCACTGTCAAGGACTGTGCTCCTGTGGTCAGTTATCAGGCTCCAGACTGTATCACCGGACAGAAGGCTGTGTGTTGTCATTCACCCCGAGTCACTAAGGTCTAATGCAGCCAGGCAAGCTCTGTTTTTAAATCAAGAATGGCTCCATTTCAAACCAGAGACTATACAATTCATTGTGTAGACTTTTATTGACTATTTTCTCTGGCTTATTATCAGTGAAAACTAATTCTCAAACCATGGCTGCTTCAAATACTACAAATGTCCTCCTGAATACTTGTATTGAGGTATGCCATTTTGGGTTGCCATATAAACTGGGACCAGTGTCAACAGTAACCCCCCTAAACAAAAGGGAAGGAGAAAGAAACAGATCATATTTTTCTGTATGCCTTTTTATATCTTCGCATTCTCACTGCACTGCCCTTATCAATGTAAAGCTGACAGATTACAATAATAGCAATTGTGGCAGTAGCTTCAAACAAAGCTTATGTAGGTCTGTATTTTCAGTTCTTGAGAACTTGTTATTTTTACAGAGTGAAGCAGACACTAGGGAACAAGAAATAATGTAAGATCAGATGAGTAGAATACTGACCTGTTATGCTTGACTTGGTATGGGTAGGTATGGATGGAGGTTTGCTGCCTGATGGTCGCCTGTTGGGCCGATCCTGCAGATGAGTTATGTAGGCAAAATTGCTTCTGACTGTTCGGAGACTGGCGAGCACCTAAAGAGAAAGGTTGGAGGGGACACTGTGATCAGTGTTGCCAACTAATTTTCAGGGGAAGTTGCTAGAGGCAGGTCAATTTGTTGCTAAATTACGTTGTGATGTCACTGCGTGATGACGTCATTACGTAATAACGTAAAACTGCGTAATTACGTAGAATACACAATAATGTTACTTAAATTGACTGGCCATCTCGGCGAAAAATATGATTTGACATTTGTTAGTTTAGAGTTGTTTGTTTATTATCACATATTTGTATTTGTAAAAGTAATATAAACACAATACATTTTATCTGATCAGATATTTTTATTTTTAAACACAACACATAGAATTATTGAACAATTACACATTATTGGACAATTACATTTTATTTATTTTAAACTAGTAAACCTACACATTCTGAACAATTATAGTTTTAAGCAGTGTATTGGTAGTTAGTTAACATGCTACCTATCTGATCAACAATTATAGGTACAAGCTAATAACAAGGTATATATGCTATCTTATTGAACAAGCAACTTTACTCAAATAATGATGTGTGTACTAGGCATCTCTCTCCAGCTCTCTCCAGGTTGTTGTGCTGCTTGGCTGGCTAGCTGCTCAATGGTTTCCTCCAGATATTGCCACTGTTCTCGCTCACACTGCAGTGCACACTGCCACCATCAGCTGTGTGTCTCTGCCAGTTCCAGAAAGTCCACTCCTTGCATACGTAATGTAAATATGATGAGTCATAGATTGGAAAGAAAATCCTCCTCATCTTCACTGTCCAACTGCATTGTCACAGAGGTGGAACCAGCAGAAGAGGATGGAGTGGCCTTAAAGCTGTATGCTGCTGTGGTGCCAAACTGCTGCAGAACTTCACTTGGTAGTTTATGCTGGTAACAGGTATCACCAGCCAGCTTCAGTCCATACCGCACCAGGAGTATGGCGTTGAGAGTGTGCAGTGACATTCTATTTCTTGACTTTAACTTGACCACACAGCCGTTCAACCTCCGCATTTGAGTGTGGCAAGGAGAGGGCAGCGAGTGCAGCTTTGCACAGTTCTTCAAATGGATTTGACCCAGAAGAGTCTGTGTAGTTAATCACTTCACTCCAAAACTCGACTGTATTTTCAGTTGAGTCCCACCTAAACAGATGGATGTTTCTCCATTGGGAAACAATTGTATCAATGGTTTGGGGCTGGTACCCCAGTAGCTCAGCTACTTCAATCATTTCAGTGGTGCCTTTATTGTGCTTTAGTGTTTCCTTAACACTGAACAAGGCCATGTTTCACAAGGCTTCTAGGTTGTCTGGGAGCCTTGCTTGCAGCTCCTTGCTTAAAGCAACAATTTAGTTGATGTACTGTCTCCAAATGACCTTTTCATCCTCTGGCGCAAGACTGAGTTGGTACACCGTGCTCTCGAAAAGGTACCCAAGGTATGGTGATGGACTGAGATGTCCATCAATGGCATCCTTCAGGACATCCATTTTTGCCATAGGGTTGACTACCCTGCTGCAAGTTGATGTTAAGAGGTGTACCAGATTGTCCAAAAGCTTGACAGGATCTGTTTGCTCTCCCTCAAATGACTTCACTGCAACTTGTACGTCGGACAGGATTGATTTCAAGAATGTCAGGTATACATAGTTGGTCTTGTCCATGTACATGGCGTGGAGCACATCCGCCATGTAGCAATGCTCACTGGCCTTGGTCAACTCAAAGTGGAGTTTCAGTTCTTCCCACTGGCTCAATATACGAGTTACCGCAGGCTCAATAGATAGCCAACGTGTGGCACACACTTTGGTGATCTGCAGGGGTTTCTGGCCACAATTAATGGTGTTATACACTGCTTTGTACTCAACCCTCCTAGGGATGGTTTTTTTGGATGCTGCACTGACAGCCAATTGTAAAGAATGGCACACACAGCGTATGAGTACCAAATTGGGCAATGCACATTCTTCCTTTAAAATCTTGTGCACCCTGTTGTGCACCCCAGTCATCACGGACGCATAATCAGTGCCAATACCCTGAAGATTCTATTTTTTAAGGTTACACTTCTCAAGAAACTCAACTACCGCCTTTGCTATTGATCTGGCATCGCCCCCCTCCAATTCAACCAGCCCGGGAAATGTGGACACAACAGTTCTTTTTTTAGCATTGACATACCGAATCACCACATCCAGGTATTGAAACACTGACATCAGTGGACTCATCCAAAAGGAGACTGAACTTCTCAACCCCCACATCTGATGTTACCCTTTTGAGAAAATAAGGAGCCTGTACTCCCAGAATCATTTCAGTGCACTTGGTGCATTTGGAAGTTTGTTGCTGCCACAGAATCTGAAAAGGCAGCTTTGCAAGCCATACCTAAATGGTTGCATGCTAGCCGCGAACAATGCTCCGCAATGGCCATTTCCATAGTAGCTTCTACGCTTTTGCAGTTATCCACTTTCTTAACCAACTGTGGTAATGTAGACTGGGTTGCGGGGTTGTACGCTTTTGATTTATTTATATGCTGTAGCACAATGTTTTTTGATGTCATACATTTCTGCAAGCATATCTGATTTGCAGTACGCACAGTATGTCCGACAATCATCCTCAATTACTGGCTTCAGCCACCCTTTAAATTCAGGTACAGACTACCACTCTTTTCTGTACTTCTGGCTGTACAATTTTGATTGAGACATGTTGATTGATGCTGTAAGTTCTGTTCAAGATCAAACATTCGTGACCAACTATATTCATTGGGTTTGTCTCGTCGAACGCATACTACTGCTGCTGCAGTCAGCCAACAATGATTTGCTGAAATTGCTGCTGGCCTGCTTTTGCCTGTGCACGAGCTGAGCGCCTGCTGCTGACATCACTCACATTGCACTTTTGTAGCCAGAAACGTGTGTTGTGACTGAGTGTGTGACAGAGAAAATCGTTTTTGTGTCATTTAGAGGGAAAATGCATGCATTTTAGGGTTTGAGTCACTTTTCAAAAGTTGCAAAAAGTTCCAAATACATTTGTAGCTAAATTTGTTGCTAGGTGCTGTTTGGAAAAAAAGTTGCCAGGTTAGTCTGAAAAGTTGCTAAATCTAGCAACAAAATTGCTAAATTGGCATCACTGACTGTGATGTAGTGTTACGTTGTATTATGACCATCATATTGATCTCCAACGCTCAACGCCAGGATTTCCTACCAGCAGACAGAGACAGAGAGCTAGAGAGAGAGAGCGAGAGAGAGAGAGAGCGAGCGAGAGAGAGGAGAGAAAGCACTGACCTGTGCAAATGGTGTTACAATCATGTCTTCTCCATGTCTGAAATGACAGAAGAAAACAGACAAAACACTTGGTTGGATACAAAACCTTCAACAAACAGGTGAAGATCAGAATATCAGCATCTTAAAAGGGCAATATTAATATACAATACATATACTGGGGCTCTATGTTACTCAATGGGCATCCTAAATGCAACCTGAACACCCATATGCCCTGCATCAGTTAACACATTGGACACGTGGAGAGGAAACAAGTGACATGCACACAACTGACTGTGGGAGAACCCTGGGAAAACAAGACAACACCCTTTCGAACTGTGCTGTGGGGGAATCATCATGCACATAATGTGTTGTCTTGGGGTCGAGCCCATCTGTGGTTAAGATAATAGGCCTCAGGCTATTCATGCATCACACATACAGTAGCAGGCTCAACTCTGATACAAGGCCTGTGGGGCTTTTCTTTTTGGGATGGTTTGGGAGGAAAGGGGCTGAGGGGTGTGTATGTATGGGCGGGGGGGGGGGGTGTGGAGGGGGTTAAGGAGTTGGTGAGGGCAGGAAGTGTCTGAAAGCTGCAAACGCAGTGGAACAGTCCTTAAAGGAGAAGTAAAATAGAAAACATTAGTCACGCGCGTCTCTCACCGCGGCAGCCAACCGACTTCCCAGTGCTTCAAGCCCTCTTCCCTTTAAAGACAGAGTGAGAGTCCAGTGACTAAACTAGACTTGACATGGGTAAAACAACAATACAAGACTGTTAGACTTAATTCAATTGAGTC